AAATATTGAAAAGATACCAAGTCTTGTGCATATACAAGTACAGTACATATATTTGTTGTGTTTCCTATTTTTCACAAAAGAAATACTAAATACATATCAAAATTAAATACTCAAACTTTTACATCTATCAATCTGAAAACTAAATTTACTTAAGCATTTAAACTAAAAATTGAAATACATATTATAACAGCATTACAAAACATTGCAATAATATAATTATCAAAATGACAATTTGAAAAATTAATTACAAACTTTGATATAATGCCACCATTTATTTGCCTGAAATTGAATATCATTTAAAAACCTGAACCAAAGAATAAGATATATGGTATGTATAGCAGTGAGATCTATACAAAAGATTAAGTTTGACAGTTTGAAAGTCATATGTAAAGCTTAATGCAATATTTTTAAAGGAAAAAAATGTTTAAAAATGCTTACATTTTGTTCATTTTTTGGTTAAATTTGACAATTTTAATTCTATTAAAAGAAATCTCACATGAATATCTAAGTTTTTCTGCCAAACAGCTTTGTTGTGGGGTTAAGATAATAGAATCTTAACCCCACAACAAAGTAGAAAAACTAAAATCTTCTTACGTGAATACTGGAAAGCATATAAATTAACACTCCAAAACCTTTAAACGTCCAGTAGTAATCAATTTAATAATAAACAAACGTTTTCGACTGTACTTTCGGTCTTCATCAGGTTTAAAAACCAGTTAGATTCAAACCTGTGCAAGCGTAGAACAATGATTATGAAATTATTTTGAAAAATGGAACAGCACAAACGGATTTTAAAAGAATACAGTTATGCATGTGCATTGACATGGCGATGAAATGGCACATGTAATACATACAATTATATATAAATAAATATACCAAACGAGGATGTGGTCTTTAACTGCTGGAGTGGGCATCGCCCGTTACCTCATAGCAGTACTTCCAAGCATGTGACATATTGACCGCATCATTAGCGTTAATGCAATTGGTGCGTAACCCGGTTTTGTAAATTTCCAGTGTCTCCAGATTTCGCAGGTGTTCCACCCGGTGAGAAAGTTTGATCAGTTTGGCCTCATGTAGGTCAGCTCTTATGCCGGGTTCAGTGGCATATGTTGATAGGGCGGTGGTGTGCCATTTATTAACGATGTCGTATTTGTGTTCCTGCAATCTTTTATTCAGAGCATTTTGTGGACCCAATATAAACTAATTCCCTTTGAAACCTGTTGTCCCATAGAGGGACCATGTAAACACCCGTTGCTTGCTTTTTATTGATCTTGTCTTTGCCACCGCAGAATAGCCCATATACAGTGCTAGGCCTCTTGTATGCAATCTTAGTGTTAGTATGGGCGGCAATCTCCCTGTAAACTGAGTTGAGGTGGTGATTGTACTCAACTACCACACGAGACTGTATGCTATTTACATTGTGTGTTTCGTGGGCCGCTGCTTGTATGTTAGAAGTGTCGCGTGTGGCTATTTGTGATACGTATGTGCGGGCAAGGTCGTGTATCAGGTTCTTTCTATATCCGTGCTGTACTGCTATGTTCTGAATGTGTTTCAACTCTGCTTCTGTGTCCTCAGATCTAGTGTGGTGTGTAAAAGCCTGCTTTGTTAGGGCACGGAATGCCAAGATCTTATATGAGTATGGGTCCGTCGAGTTGGCCGGGATGAACAATGGCCTATAGCATGATTTGTAATGTACTTTCGTTACCACCCTAGTGCCATCAAGTTGTAGGTGGATATAGAGGAAATGCGCCTCCTTATTGCTCTTCTGATCCAATTTGATGGTGAGTCCATATGGATTGTCATTCATTGCACTTATGAAATTGTTTATGTTCGGTTCCACTTTCCATAGAATAAAGATGTCATCTACATACCTCTTGTATATGAGAATGTTGGAGACGAATTGCAATATGATCCTTCCTTCAAGCTGCCTTATCACCAACTCACATAAATCCCCTGAGAGCGGGCTGCCCATAGGTACACCACACTTTTGTAAGTAAGTATTATTGTTAAAGCAGAAAAAGGAGGTGTAACATAAAATATGCGCCAGCTCTAAAACGTGTTTACAATGAACAGTAGCACCGGGTTCACTAAGAATCACACACTAGATTTACACACTTAGATTTTACAAATACGTGTGCCGGGCTGTGAATGGCTCACATATTTGTAAAATCTAAGTGACTCGTACAACATGGAATTCATATAAAATGGAAAAATCAACAGTGTTATAGGGGGATTGACTGTACTTGTGCTAAAGTTATTTATAGTTTTATAAACAGTGGGGACAAATTTATTGGTAACAGAACAAATGGAAATCATGATATAATGTCATATATTTAAATAGTTTTTAAAAACAGTTTTAATTTTCAATTGGTTTGATTTCAATTTTAATTAATTAATTTTGATTATATTTAATTTTAGTTTTACTTTCAATTTTGGTGTAAAGTGGCTATCTAGTATGCTTTAATTTGTTGAAATATACAGGGTTCCAACATTTTTTATTAAGGTGAAATGGGTTCTTTGATAAAAATAAGTTGGAAACCTCTGGTCTAAAAGAATCTCTTCTTGGCATTTTCACAGTTGCTGCTTTTACACTAGTAACAAACTGGTCCAATACAGCAAACTTAGCTCTATCCTTCCACCTTCCACCAGTGTAAAGCATATATAGAGCACTGTCAGTTATAACCAGCTAACTTTTTATTGAAAACTTAAGAATTTCCAATTTGGTTAAAGCTGCTTCCACAATGACTTTGGCATTACATTTCTCCAAAATGCTTGTGTTTAACAGTCAAGATTTTGAATCCTATACACCAAGATGTTGAAAACCTTAAATTTTTTTAAGTCAAATGATTCATCCATTATTAAGCATACATCACATCACAACCATTACAAATTCACAGTTCTTATAGATCAGTACCTCAAGATCTGACAAATAATGCCAAAATTTTGATTCATTTAGTGTTATTTTTCTGCATTTTAGTGACACAAACTTCTTCATATTATACTTTAGCCAAGTTTTCTCATATATTATATAATACTTTGTGTTAACTTAGTATAACTAATATTTCAAAAACATACAGTCAAAGTCATTTATTTATTTTTTTCTTGGCCACTTTCTGTTATTGAAGGTTGTTTTCTCCCTTTACTTTTAGCTTTAATATGCTTCCTAGAAGAAATATGTTATTTTATGATGAATTTCTTATCAAATGATAAATAAGTATTGCAATATGTACATTGAATCAACAAATCTTTATTTGAAAGTTTGCGTATTTGGTCACAGAGAAATTGGCTAGTTTTAAGTATTGTAAGAAGCAATCTACAACTCACAATTCACTCTGCTCATTAATGATGTTTGATATCATAAAATCTGTAATTGATATAAATAATATAATACTGTGCAATAATTGAGAACAGACAACTATGTCAAAATATCAATTATTAATCAATAAAATTCTACATCAATAAATACAACAACAAATTACTTAAATTATTACACAGCAAATTGAACAGCTTTATTTCAATATTACAGTATTATTCTAAGACCTAAAAATTCTACGAGTTTATTAATTCAAAATTTAAAAATCTAGGAAGAAAGATTAAATTAATAATCAGGCCAAAAAGGTATATAAAAAATATAAATATACAATAATACTTAAATATGATAAAAAGGTGCAGAACTTAATTGTAAAATAGAGGCACCAAATACCACCTATTTATACTATTTTTAAATTATCATTATTCAACTGATTTTCTTTATGATAAATCACAACAATAGATTTAAAATTTTGACAACAGCTAATTTTAAAATTCAAATTAATTTACAGTTGAAATTTGTCAGCCAATCAAAAGCATAATTTCAATTTCCATATGTTGAATGGGCATGAATCCAAGGAAATTCAGTTAGAGACCATTTAACTGTTGATACTGGAATCAAAATTTAAATTACAATCAAATGAAATTTGTCAAAAATTTCAATTTGAGTTTAGTTAGTATTGGACTGTTAAGTTACTTTGTAAATTTCAATAATTCCCAATATCAAGTATATTGAACATCAATAATGATATTAGCTAGTATTTATTTTTCTAACTTTGATATTGGAAAATATATTGATAGTTGATTATTTGACAATATCAAGCATTTGAATATCACAACAGTTTATTACCTGGTATACAAAAAGTTTTAGTTTTAATTTTTACTGTCCTTTTCTTCCAAAATTTTAAAAGACATGCTTTTAAAATTTTTTTGATCAGGGAAAAAAGCTTTTTATACTTTTAATTTATTTTGCAAGATGCAAACAGCTATTTCAATTATGTTATTGTGTACAATTTCTAAATTTATAAGGTATTCAGTATCAAAAATAAAAAATGCTATGAAATGTTTTTTATTTTTTTTTTGACAAGTCATATGTTGGTATGATTACATGAAATTTGATAATAATACTGTCATTTGCAATATAATATACTATATTTCGTAATCACAAATACTGAAATTCTTCAGTGAATCCAATTTTTATGGAGATGATGTGTTCACAAGTATTCACTGATACTTTGAGGATGGCACTACATCAAGGTTTGACTATATTTCAATTAATTTAATTTTTAAATATGCTTTTTGATAAATTATTATTCTTACATTTCAAAACACAAGCAAATAAAGAAAGGATACAAAAAATAAATAAGTAAATTGAAATAATCTAAAAATAAACTTTAAGAATTGAACAAATTTCAAAATATCTATACAAAATAAATATCTTAGCAGTTTTCATAAAAAATCTAGAATAATTCCAAATTTTATTACTTAAATAAAATATCTCATATTTTAAAGAATTAAAATAAGTATTTCTTGTTGTAACAACAAAAACTATTTTCAAAATCTAACAAGAAATGTGCCATCATTAAATTAATTAATGAAAATAAAATTTTTCTTTCATGAATGATTACTTTTGATACATCTTGAATATACAAATATATTTTATTATTATATTCAGTATAAAATGTACAAACCTGAAAAAAAGAACATAAAGTAATATGTGGCAAATAGTTATGGGCACCATTTCTTCCACATTGTACAAGAGATAAAGAAAAGAAATCTTGTAATTGTTCTTGTAATGGTCCAGTAGGGCATAAATATAAAATATACTCTCTAGGAGTATCTCCATCAAGTGTGACATCATTAACATGGGCTAATAACCTAAATAAGACAAAAGTCATTAATTATTTACATGTCATAACCTGAATTTAAAAATAAAACATTAAATTTCATGCCTGTAAAAATTAAAAATTAAGTTATACTTGTTTAAGCAGTATGAATTGACTCAGAACAATCATATCTTTGTGTGATTATATCAATGCTAATGAGATAAATTGCATAGTTACAATTTATAAGAACTGCACAATTTCTAAATAAATTTGTTAATTATATTGCTATTTTTTAGGTATTTCTTTGTCATTGAATGAGGATACAGATTAAGAAAGCACTTTTTATAAAGGATATAGATACAAATGTCTAGACCCTGAGCAAGCATTAGTTTTAAATTATTCCACTGTGGCAAACAGGGCCAATAATCGGAAGCTTGATTTGTGGTATTTTCTGGTCAAAATTACAAATTATGATTGATTTATTCATAATTACTATTAGTTAAAAATGAAAATAAGTTAAATTTTTAGATGACAATTTACTTATAAATAAATGATTTTTCCATAAAAAATTGATATAGAAATATTTAGTTATTTGTTAATTAAGGCAACAGAATACTTGGGTGACCTGCCTAGGGAAATGTCTTTTGGGAAGTTTTTTAAGGGTAACTGGCCCCTATTTAGGCATTAAAGAGTGGAGAAAACCCAGAAAACTCTGTGTGACCAGCCCATCCTGTATGTTTGTTCGCTATGCACTCCTAAGCCATTCAACCAATTGCTATAAAACTCAGAAGTTATTTAAACAGGCTTGTAACTTAGATAATATTGTACATATCACTCCAAAATATTGATTGGGTTTCTATATATCAATTAATTTATGTAACATTTGATTTGTTAGCTTTACATGTAGTGCTAATAACAAAAATAAAAAAAATTAATAAACTAAATGTAATCCAAACAAAAAAACATATAATTTAGAATATGAAGTGAAGATATATATATATATATCTTCATTTATTTATTGCAACAATGATACAGTGCAAAGTAGACACACTAAATCATTACTGCAATGGGGTAGCAGATAGCACTCATCTGCATGGAGTCAAAAGTGTTACACTGTGAATACTACATAAGTACTATATTTAATTTTCTACATCTAACAACTCAGGTTTTTTCATTTCTTAATGGTATGTGAAGAGCCAAGAGCCCTCTCCCATTAGAGCTAATTAACCTATTAGTTTAATTATAAATTGAAGGGAAAAATCCAGGGAAAATACCCGGATCTCCACCGGGGACATCCTGATTGAAAAGATAACACCCCTATCCAATATCCCTCTGAATCACCAACTATTTCAATGTTTGGATTTATGTTATAAACTTAGTCAAAACATTCAATTATTAATGATGGAAACTGTCAACCTTACAGAATTATGAGGTAAGATGAGCCGCAATAACAGATAGAAAGTATCCATAAATCGTTGAAACATCCAGTTCTTGACAGCCCACAACAAAATCCAGACCCAACTTGACAACTTAGAAAGCATTAAATCAAAGTCACCCAAGTCAATTCTCATGTGCAATGCATATAAAAGGGACTCAAACTCAAACCTTAGGGCAGACATTCCAAGGTTCCAGCCTCTCCATATTGCAGAGTGAACATTCCCATAGAATAAGTCTCACGTCGCGCCAAACAATCTACATAGAAGCCTCCACTGAAATAGAGAGCTGCATCTCTCTCTGAGGTATTTAGTGTCTTGGTAAACATTTGTAAACTCTCTCTCTCTGTGGATAAAAAGGGCTGACTTCCCAAGAACCTTGCAAGTGACGTGCCAACACTAATAGTTTTGTTGTGTTGTTCGTAGTGTTTGTAATATAGATTATAGTTAGATTAAACTTTTGTTGTGTTCGTACGCTCTCTACCTGTCGTTACTCAAATAACAGATACCCTATTGACTTACTCATTGCACTCCCCACTTGACAGACAAATCAACTGGCCTACTCAACATTTGTTTACATTTTGTGAGTTAGGACGCAACTTTTAATTACAGTGACCATGTGAGCAGTTTCCACCTACCCATTGCCAACTAAGCAGTCTAAAGGGAAACCCCTCTTTGCCCCCAGTTTCTCACAGGTACTTTCTTAATTCTAATAAGTGGCCACCAGTGATCACACACACAAAACCACTGAACACTGGAAGTTGGTTGTGGATTCGCCACATCACCAATGGATCAGACACAGAGTTTTCAGGGTTTGATTCACATTTGTTACACCTAAATAGGGTTAGTTTCCTTTAAAAGTCCTCACAAATGTCTCAACCTGAGTGAGCATTAGTTCTAAATTAAGCTGCTAGGACAAACAGTGCCAATAGCCAGAACTCAATTTGTGGTATTTTCTGATCATAGTTACTAATTATGAATGCTTTATTTGTAATTTCTATTAGTTAAAAATGAAAATAAGTTTTAGATTAGTTATAAATGAATGATTTTTTTCATATGCAATGTCAGTCTTTTTACCTAATCCCAAGAGTAAAATAGCACATTAATCATTTGTTTATCATACAGTCAATGTCATTAAACTTATCATACATTAACTAAATGAAATGTAGTGAGTATGGTTTAAAATATAGTCACAGACGAAATTTAAACAGTATGATTTGTGATATACTGGTACAATACCTGCGTTCTGCTCATTATTATAAATTATAAATACTTTGTTTGAAATAATTAGTTAAAATCAAAATAAATTAAATTTATGGATAGACATCTTGCTTAAAAATGGATTTTTCCATAAAAAGTTAATACTGTAAGATCATAAAATGGAATTATGAATAAAACAAAACATAGGGGGACTTAAAATTAGATGTTCTCCCACTAAAAGAAGTGTTATTATTATTAGTAATTAAATGATCTGTAATATGCATAAGTACATAGCCTTAAAAAAATTATTGTTTGCATTAATTATAAATTCATTACTCACATGACATATCCAGACAATATTATGATTGAATAACATTAATTTGGAAAGGAAATCAAGGATAGTTATAGAGAAAAGACAAGGTTTAAGATAAACCTCCCCTCATTCACAGCCAATCATAGGTGGAGGGAAAGTAATATTTGCTAAGGGGAACTACTTGGCATATTTTTTTCTTAATCAATGCAACTTTAAAATTCAGTACATACTTGAAATCAGAACCCAATCTCTAAAATCAATATGTCTGGTCACTTTAAGCCATTTTAGAACTACTTTAAGCCTTGAGAAAAGCCTAACATAAAAGCTAACAATTTATATGTACATATACACTAAGTAAATTTTGGTCATTTTATGGAGTATATGCAATTTCTAAACATTTATTATTTTCTAAACAAATTACTACATAATTGTAGTATAATTCCTTATATGCAGTATTTTTCAACATTAAATAGTAACATTTAATACTCTTCCATCCCATTAGAACATTAAGGCAGACAGGACAAAATCTAAAGATGCAATTTTTATAATAAATAAAATGTCAAGTGAGTATGGTATGGACATCATTCCTATTGTTCCAGATCTGTCCCGGTTAGAACAATATACTAATATTAGGAACATCAATGTTGAAAAGCTGCTACAATATTATACTACAATGCTATAGAGCAGTGCTTCTCAAACTATTTTGGATCACCACTCCCTTGGTTGTAACTTTTAGTAGTAACACCACCTGTTGTGTACACGGGGCCTTGTCAAGGCTTTTTTAGTCCATCAGTACTGTCATCCCTAATGCCTCCTTGGATAATTCAAATGCCTTTGATATTGCCCACTTTGAAAAGCACTGCTATAGAAGTTCAATGTCATTTAGCCTTATATTCATGATTTCATTTGCATTAATTTTAATTGAAATAATATTTGAGATTATGTATTAATGTTTTTGTAATTATATTTTGGTATTGAATATTTTATTTATGTATTGAAACTGTAATAATGCACTGGATGCTGTGTTTAGGTAATGATTATTGTATATTACACTATGAATTTGAACTTTGTACAGAGATTATTACATTTACTGTATTTGTATTTGTTATTGGACAATGTTTGTCTGGTATTTTCTTTATTTTACTTTCTTCCCAGTACAAAGGGTATACAAGGACCTTGGTACTAAATAAATAAATAATAAATATTTGAGATTAAAGATAAAATAATGTTAGCAGAAAACAAATTACTACAAAAAATCTAGTTAAATATATAAGAAAATACCAAATCAAATAATAAATACAAATAATTAAATTTTAATACCATCAAATTCCAAGTATATAAATTACAGAAGTTTACAATTCAAACATGGTATTTACTTGGATATAAGACAAGGTTTTTATTCATTTATCACAGCTTCAAATTCCTAGGTCATCCTATACGCACAAGCGAAAGATTCTTTGCGTTTTTTGCAAATAATTTTTGAGAACCATGTATTTGCATTTTTTACCAGATGCTTACCCTGTTGTATTTAAAAATATAAGTATTTTATCTGGGTCATTTGAATCATTCTTGTATATTGTCAGGAGTAAAGATGAATAGCAATAGGAAAAGCAAAGCTTTTGAATTGAATTCCAAAATCACGTGGGAGCACGATATATGTTTTAATCCATTCCCACGTGAGAGCAGATAATTACTCAGAAATCAGAATTTGAAGAAACTCATAAGTGTAATTGACAGAGAGTGGATTCAACTGTTAAGAATTGGAAAAGAAAGGTTTCTGATTGTCCAGCTTTACATGAACAAATTATGTTGTCGATTTTACAAGATAGGAAAATCTTGTAAAATCTAAAAGTTTAAAACGCCAGTAATTTTTGCAGGATAATGTGTGCATTTACATTCATTTAGTATTTTACTTGTGATTACATGAAATAAAATTAGAATTGTATTAATAAATCTAATTTTCTTTATTTTGATCTTTAAAGTCACACCACGTCCTATATGTGAGGTCGTCTTATATTTGAGTAAATATGGTATATATTTATCATTACTCATTAGCTTTCTAGGAAAAAGTTTTTATATATCAGGTCAGTCCATAAGTTCATGTGC